ACCTGTGCTATCGGAGCTAACCTCCTGGCTATAAACGGCCAGGTCTTCTTCAGGTAGCCGTCCGCGTGGGTCGGGACGATTCCCCCACTGCGGCTCCGCGGCCTTGGCGAAGTACTCGGGTACTTCCGGGCCTTGACCTGCGGCGTCCGGTCGTCGCAGGATATGGGGGACGAAGCGAGTCGGCTCTCCTTCGTGACCCTCCGTGGGTAGAGGGTACGGATCCTCTACCCAGTCTTGCAGGTACATTATCGCATTTTGTACCTGTTGGGGTAACCGAGGACGGTCTCGGTCCCCTCTTTCTCCTTGTCGGGAGTACCTGGTGTCCGCCTGCCGGTAGGCGGCTCGATCCCGACGATCGACTTCGTTACGACGGTACCCGCCTCCACGGGGGGCGAAGTGCGCGCCCCCACCCGATCGGTTCGGGAAACCTTGACGCGGGGGACAGCCGTCGCCCGCCGCTTTCCGGAGGAGATTACGCGCACCGGAGCGCGTCTCCATCTGGTAGCGGTAGTTCCTGTACGCCATAAACATTCGTTGTTCCGGCGACAGGAACGGACACGCGTACATGGCATGCCCGTACGTACGGCATAGCGAGCACACGTACGCGCTACCGTCCGTTGAGGAGAAGGTCGCCGCGTGCCGCGCCTCCTCATCGGTGAGGAGGGGCACGCAAGGCGCTCCGCCTCCTGCATCTCGGTTCGATATGTCGAGCTCTGCGACCCGGGGGTCCGTACCCCTTGCCACTCTTGGAGTGGCTGCGAAGGCGGTCGCGTAACTCGATGTCGTTCCGGTCGACATCGGTGAGGGGGTTCGTGCCCCCACGGGCCTTGCTCCTTGCGTAATGAGGACAGGGTCGGCCTGCCACTCATCCTCTCCGATATGGAGGGTCGAGGCGGGCGAACTTGTCGCGGCGGACTTCGTAGTCCTGCCAGCCTTCCCTGCCGGTTTCGAATCCGGCAGAGGTAAACCGCGCCGAGCGCGGTACGTTGTACCTTCCGCCGTAGCGATACGGCGGATGGTCGGAAGATCGGTCTTCTGACTGCCTGGCAGCCTTTGCACAGTTTCGGATACTGCGGTACGGGTTGCCGGTGCAAGTCCCCGCACGAAGTAGTGCGCGAGGGACTGTTCGGAGAACACTGCCGTGCATCGGAACGCGGCAGTCTCGGGTCGGTCAGCAAACGTGCTTTCCGTGTCATGCGATTGCTGTCGCGCCGTAGCGACAGCGTCGTACGCTTCACCTAACACGTCGTCCGTGAGGTAGCGTTTTAGGAATTGATTCACGAGCCCCGGCCAGCTCACGTCGTCATGGAGCTGGCCGGCGCGGAGGCCACGCATCGTATAACTCGTATACAGGCGCTCCGCGTCGCGCTCGAGGAAGTGCTCGAGGACTCGTACCGCAACACCTTCGGTCAGGTGTTGCGAGTTGAAGGTGATTCGGATATCCTTCAAGAACGGCAGCAGCTGGATCGGGTCGGTACCGTCGAAGCTGCGCATCGTGGGACGGATCCCACGACAGCGTTGGACGTACTTCGCGATACGTCCCGCGTCACCCGACGTAGCGAGCCTCGAGGTGTTATCCAAGCGGTACATACGATAGTCAGCAACGGAGCTAAACTCTTGGATCATCGTATGTACCGGCTCGAGCCCGGGTTCAGCGGGACCCAGCGTGCCGAAGGAGGTAACCGGTAGCGTACGGACGACTACCGGACCTGGATGCTCGGCGTAACTCGCCGGCGGGTAGCCGCCCCAGCGGGGATCGACGGAGAACATCGGTTCTCCGGATCCGCGGGCGGCTCCTCCACGGTCCTGTTCGTCCGCGTACGATACGCGGTCCACTTGCCGCCTACTTCCGGGGATAGGCGGCAAGGCTTGGGTCTCAGACGCAAAGTTCGCGTCTATCGGAGGACGGCTCCCTTCTGCAGTCCGACTGGTAGCGGCACCTGTCGGACGCCAACCTTCGGGGGCGGCGGCGCTCGGAGGTACGGTACCACCGGGCCCTCTCGAGGGGGCACCGGGTAGCCTTTCGGCCATGGTACGTTCCATGTCACGAGCACGTTGACGAGTGGCGTCGAGCTCAGCGGAGACGTGCGCGAACGCACCCAATTTCTCTGCGGACGGAGAGGTTCGGTCCTCGGGTCGTCTCACCGAGGTCGGCCTCTCAGGGCGACCTTGCCCGGACGGTCCGGGCGAGGCGAAACGGGAGTCTTCGACGAGCACTATCCGCGAGTGTAACTCGTCGATCAGTGCTCGGAGATTCTCTAAGGACTGCGTCACTCTATCGAACCTCCCTTCACGCAGGGAGCGGAGTTCGGCCATACATTGAGTGTATACATGGTCCGATATATCGATCCGAAGGGAAGTACGGACTTCCTCGATGTATTCGGCTATGCGTTCGAACATCGCCGCCGCTCCTTCCTCGGAGGATCCGAGCGACGGTTCGCGGTCACGAGGACCTGCGTCGCCGTCGCCCGACGGGGCGGATGGGGACTGCACAGCGGCCGGACTCAGATCCGCCGCTTCGGAGCGGATCGAGGGCTCAAACTCTTGGCTCATCTCAACGCGATCGGTTCGCGGAGGGAAGCGGAAGTCTTCTCGGAGATCGGACTCCAGGGTCTTCTAGGTCGGGAGACCACTGTAGCATAAACACCCCCAGCGATAGGGGTGCATGCACAGTTCGACCGAGACCCTTGTCGATCGGGAAGACGGGGGTGAAGCGGGACACCAGCTAACGGCACCGGGCAGCGGGCCCGGGTAGCGTGGTAGAGCGGGAACGGGGAGGACGCCGGTACGCGCGAGCGGTTCGACGCCTCGACGCCCCGGCGCGGTACTGGGTAACGATCCAGTACCGACGGGCGGAGGCGGAGCCGGCTCGTGGGCGTACCGCGCGCGTCCTCAACCCGCACTCGGTGCCGCTTCTAAGGTTATTAGCGAGCGTTACCTTAGAATAAGCGGGAAGTCGAACCTTGAAGATCGGTGGGTGACAAGTCCGTGCTTGTCCTCCTCCCCCGCCGCCGGTCCGCTCCATATTTAATGTACATAAGAACCTATCATGATAATACAGTACCGATGTACTGTAGCGACGTACTGTAGCGGTCGGTCGACACTGTAATACTGTCAGCCATCGGGGCTGACAGTACACGTGTGCGCGCGCTCTTCGTTCCGCGCGTACACGTGTACACGCGCGCCCGCCTGTACTTGGGGGTACACGTGGTGGTAGTGTAGAGCATCGAGCCCTACAGTAACCGATCCGATTCTGAGTTGATCTAATCTAAAAAAAGCCCCAGGGGGGGTTATACTACAATGCTGTTATCTGGAAGTGCAAAATCGAGCGACACGTGTACATGACTCGACAGTCCGGACCTTCACCCTATATGACAACATGACACGTGTAAAGTCTCAGATTTTGGGGTTCTGGGGACGAAAGTGGACTTTTGGAGGGTTATGCAAATTTGCATAAATGACGAAAAATTTGCATTTGGCCCGAACCGTTATAGGGCTACACAGGCAATACTGCAAATCTATTGGGTGTCGGTTCGAATGCTGCAATTCTATTGGTCTGTTATTGTCTACTTATATGCAGTCATGCTGGTGATATATCTTGAATGATCCGTATACGTTTTAATTACATCATTTCGAGGGTTTCAAGTTGTTCAGCATGGTTGTAAGGCAAAATTACAGGTGGCCTTGGCGCTGGACACTTGTGGGCAGTCTACACATGTACACATCGCCAGGTTGCTGTAATGGTAGGTTCGGAGGGGCAAGGGAAAGAAGGAGGGCAGGTTGATGTGTGTGAGTGAAGGAGTTGGTACCGAGGTTTACTTGGAGCCGTCTTTCGGCGATACTTATACACTTTGAGTGTTACACTATCCTATTACTTTGGCACCTGGTAAACCGTACTCACCATATGCGCGACCAAGCGCGGTCCTCTTCTGGCCCGTCCACACTGTTCTATTTCCACCTTATGAATTGACTATTGACTATCAGTGCACAACAGTTTCTACACATTTCGAGTAACTGTAAACCATGGCCCTATGCATGCAATCGTTTCACACCTTACTAATCTGCATCCAGACATGACAGAATATATTCTTGCACAATGAACAACTTGGCATCTCTCTATTTCCAACAACGCAAAGTCCTGTCATATCTCAGTCCCCATACATGCCCTTGTTTCGTACCTTACTAATTTCGGTACACACTGCCAGACAACTATCACGGATAGCAACAATGTGCATCCAGACTTTCTACACATCTCACGTGATATCCGATGTGAATCACACGAGTACTGTCATCAACTTGCATCCAACGGCGCACCATAACGAGAGCACAGTACAACGTCGCATGCTGACGAGAGTGTAGTACAACGGCGCATGCTGATGCAAGGGTCGCATACAGCGTGACGCGTACACTGAATACTCACGTAAGTACATGTCTCTTGCGAGAAATACTTTTTGTACTTTTAATTCACATGTACTGTGCTCGGACACGCGCCGGACCGTATGTAGGCGACGTGTACAAGTGTACGTACACGCAGCAACCTGGCGATGTGTACATGTGTACACCGCACACAAGTGTCCAGCGCCAAGGCCACACGTAATTACCCATTACAACCATGGTGAACAACTTGAAACCCCCGAAATGATGTAATTAAAACGTATACCGATCATTCAAGATATATCACCAGCATGACTGCATATAAGTGGACAATAACAGACCAATAGAATTGCAGCATTCGAACCGACACCCAATAGATTTGCAGTATTGCCTGTGTAGCCCTATAACGGTTTGGGCCAAATGCAAATTTTCGGCATTTATGCAAATTTGCATAACCCTCCAAAAGTCCACTTTCGTCCCCAGAACCCCAAAATCTGAGAATTTACACGTGTCATGTCGTGATATGGGGTGAGGGTCCGGACCGTCGAGTCATGTACACGTGTGGCTCGATTTTGTACTTTCGAGATAACAGCATGTGGTCGCACATTTTCAATACCTCCCCTCGATCACATGCTTTGGGCAGCTTTGCACTCTGAAAGCCCAACCATGCCCACGAACTTTTCAAACAGCACGCGATCAAGTGGTTTGGTCAGCATATCGGCTGGCATTTCTGTTGTCGGACAATGGTACAATGTGACCAGTTTTCGCTGCACCGCATCTCGAACAAAATGATACGTAATATCAAGGTGCTTGTTCCGACGATTTGTAGATTCGTTCTGAGCAAACGCAATCGTACCAGCGTTGTCACATCCAACGCGAATTGTTGGATCCGAATTCGCACCAAGTACATCGGCATGGAAGCGTCGAAGCCACGCAGCCTCTTTGCATGCTTCACTGAGTGCGATGTATTCTGCCTCACAAGTAGACTTCGCAACTACTGTTTGTTTCCGGGAAGCCCAACTGATAGGCCCATCACAAAGCTTGAATACGTACCCACTCGTTGATTTCCGTGATTCAAGGCATCCACTCCAATCTGCGTCGCTATACCCATGAAGTTCCGTACCAAGATCATCTTTTCCAAACACTATTCCAAGATGCTGGGACCCACGCAAGTATCTCAAAACACGTTTCACACCTGACCAGTGCGACTCGTGAGGGTCGGCACAGTGTTGAGATAACTTTCCAATGGCAAACGCAATATCGGGGCGGGTCCCGACCATTAGGAACATTAGACATCTAATGGCCTGACGATATGGTTCAAAGCATGGGTTGTCATCAGTGCCAGTTTCGGCCACTTGCATTGTGACATGTCGAGACTGTTCCATCGGAGTAACGCAAGGATTGCATGCCGACATTTTGAACCGTTTCAGTACTGCTTGGGCATACTTCGACTGCGTGACGGTCAGGACGTGTTTAGAACGTATACGGTCGATCTCTAGACCAATACTGTAGCATAAACACCCCCAGACGACTGGAGGTGTATGCGCAGTTCGACCTGTAGACCCCGGATCGGAGAAGGGGTGAAGCGGGCCAACCAGCTACGGAACCGGGCTCGGGCCCGGGTAGCAGTGGTAGAGCGGGAGCGAGCAGGGACGCGCGCACGCACGAGCAGATCGACGCCTCGACGCCCCGGAGCAGCACTGGGTGACGTACCAGTGCTGACGGGCGGAGGCGGTTCCGTGCTCGCTCGCGTGCTGCGCGTCCACTCCGGCTCGGCTCCGACTAAACGCGCGCGAAGAGCGAAGGCGACGTTTAGAATAAGCTGGGTCGACTGACCTTGGCGGTCGGTTGAGGACAAGCCCGTGCTTGTCCCCCTCCGCCGCCGTCGGTCCGCTCCATATTTAATATACAAAACACTCTATCATAACACTACAGTACCGTGGTACTGTAGTGGGCTACTGTAGTGCAGGTCGGCCTGCACTGTAATACTGTCAGCTATGTCGAGGCTGACAGTACACGTATCACTCGTGGTGCGTGCGCGCTTCGTTCGCGCGCTGTCCACGTGTGCACGTGTATGCACAAGTCCCTTGTCCCCGTGGTGTACACGTGGACACGCGCGGTGGTACTGTAGAGCTCGACGCTCTACAGTAGCTGATCTAGTTCTTGATCTAATCTAATTTAAACCCCCAGGGGGGGGTTATACTACACCGCCCCCCCCTCAAGGCTGAACGTCCGCGGTCAGTGCTCTCGGGCTTGTAGAGGCGACCATGTCGGATCCCCCCCTTGCAGTCCTAGACTTGACCAGGATTCCACCTGACCCGTCCCCCTCATCGCGCGTATTCCACCTCTCCGCTATCCACACGGCCGCGCTCTCCCTGCACTGCTCTCTCCCTCGCCGCCCTCTCGCTCCCTCGCGAGTGGGGGCTTCTCGTTCTTTTCTTTCTGGCCCTGGCCATTCTCGCCACACCACTGTGGTTGTCCCTCTGTTGGTGGGGTGTCTCGCCGTCCGGGTCGGTATGCCGACCTCCATCGAAGGTCCTACCTCCGCCCCCGTTGCCGCCGTACCGGAGCCTCCGTGCTCCTCGCCGCCTCCCTCTAGGGCCCCTGGTCCCTGCCGGCCGACCGTCGCTGGCTTCGTGCCCCCAGAGGGGCGTACCACGAGGCAGCCCGGCGCGGTCGTGCGCCCGTGGTCCACAGATCAGCCGTTCCAGAGGGTTCGCGGCTCCCGTGAGTCGACGTCGTCCGTCGAGATCGTTCCCGCCTCATGCAGTCGACCTGCCATCTCGTTGTCGCCTTCTGTTGACGAACCAGTGACGCAGCGAGCCAGCTTGCTGCGTCAGGGGTCGGTGGGAGTGCAGTCGCCGCCGCCGCTTCGTACTGTACGGCCCGGCGAGGGCTCGGGTGGCACCCCGTCAGAGTGGTTCGGCGTCCCACTTGAACGATCGACGCCGCTCCCTCTCGACCGCCAGAAGTTCACCTGGTGTCGTTATGCCCGCTCGGGGGTTACCGTCGGGGAACTGCTAGCGCGTGAGACCCTCCGCCCGGACTTGCTACGTGTACGCAAGGTCTATGAGGCGGGTCGGGGGGAGGAAGCCTCCCTCGTGTTGGGGCGTCTCCTCGCAGAGGGGGACGGGGCGGCCTACCAGATCCCTACTGCGATCGTCGGCGATCGCACCTTTGCTTATAGCTTGGCCGAGGTAGAGTACGTTGATCGGATGGCGGATTACCTTATTAACCGTGGGTCGTCGCCCTCTCGTGAGTTCGTCCTGTCCATGGTCGCGGGACTGTACGTAAGCCCCCGTCCCTTCGCCTACTCAAAAACACGCGTCGCCTTGCAGAAGTCAGCTTGTTCGCTTATGAGGCTACACCGCGTGGCCATTGCTCCCCACGATTGGGCAGCCTATAGGCACTCCGGAGAAGCGGACGGCCGCGTCTTCCGGTCGGCCGTCTTCGAGGACGGTCTCTTTCCAAGCGATTTTCCGTTACTCCCCACCGTGGTAGGGGAGTCACTCCCCTCGTTCGGAGTGCATCCCCTACTTCCGTACGTCTTAAAACACTTTGGGGTGGCGTGTACTGATCCGACCCACCCCGCACACGCCGCCCTGATTTACAACGTGGAGAGGGAATGGGCATGGGCACTCGGCAACGCTTTCATGAACGAAGTATCGATCCATGGCCGGGTGTTCGTCCAGCCCATCAGCGTATTAGCCCACCTGGGGAGGGTAGCGTGGGACCTTCCCAATGTCCCCCTACACCCGCTCGAGCGGAGTTCCCTACATGTACCTTGGACGTACGCCTTCGCCCTCGAGCTGATGCATCGAGCCTGTGATGCGGGGCCCCGTCACCTCCGTCACTGGACGGATTTCACCACTGGCGTACAGTCCTCGTTTCTGGCCTATGACCATCGATCCGACGCCTTCATGGCGCGGCCTACCGTCGCGCCGCCCTCCACTAGGCCGTCGGGAGGCGGAGTCGGCTCGGCCTCACGACTGGCTCGAAAAAAACGTTACCGCGATCTAGACGGGGAGCCCCCGACTTTCCCTTTTGCGGGTACGAACCCGCCATCCGGACTGTCGATGCCCGTGGGCAACCACCGCCGACCGGCGAGCCCTCAGGTTCCCCCAGTGCCTCCTCTTAACTCGGTCTCGACCCGTGCCGTCCCGAGCGGGGAAGCGCTACGTCGCCTGACGATCGAGCGGGCGGATATCCATGACATACCAATCTTACATCGCGCCCTCGGGGACGCGAGCGATCGTTCGTGGCCAGTGGAAAGGCTGCTCAGCACCCTTGCCAGCTGGTACTTGGCGCGGGGCGACGAGGCCCGGGGCATCGCCGCACAGCGCGACTCGCACATGTCCGAACTCTGCCACGTGCGCCGCGAGTTATCGAGGGTGCGTGAGGCAATGGCTACGCAGACCGGCGTACTCGAGCGGACGACCGCTGATCGGGACCGGTACCGGGCCGAGCGGGACGCACTTCGTGCTCCCCGGGTGGCCCCTCCGTCCACTTCGCGCCCGGCCTTGCGAGATCCTTACGAAGATCCGGGGCGTGAAGCCCCGGTGGTAGAGAGCGCTGCGACTCTCGAGGGCGGCGAGCCGCGCTGGACGCGTCACGACGAAGTTGCCATGCCTCCTCTCGAGGGGCTGGGCTCGGGGTTGCCCCGCCACCCAAGTTATTGCCCTCCGGGTCTCTATGGACCGGGTCCTACAGCGGCACCCGACGGCTCGAGCCGTTGAGTTCACGGGCGTCACGTCACCTTGACCTTCCATCCGCATAAAGCCAGTCCCCTTTCTGTTGTGGTTCCCTCGCTTGCCATCCTCTTCCCTTCACCGCGCGCCGATACTCTTTTCCGGGTCCCACCTCGAGGTGGGTCAAGAGGGAGGAAGACATTCCGCCTCGAATCGGAGAGTGACCTCGCGTGGGGTATCCATTTCGCTTGACATTCGGTCGTGGGGGAGTTTAGACGATGGCGGCGCCAACCTATTCCCGGTTTCCCTGTTACTGAGGTTCGTGACGGGTCGAATCCCTCGTTTGGCGTGAGATCCAATTCCCCCCAGCACCGTGGGAGTCACCGACGTAGTCTCTCCTTTTCTCTCGCCCCAATTCGTTATCCGTCGTACTAAGTCATACGGAACTCCAATCATTCCTCGAGGTCGGCTCTCTTCGCGACCTTCGCCGAGCGGTCATTCGTCGACTGCTCGCCCCGAAGCGTCACTTGCTCTAACGTGTACGGGCGTCCGCTGGCCTCGACCGTAGGCTACCCGTCGCCAATTCGTGCGGCGGGGCCCGGCATTTCAACTTCCCTTGGCTCGCCTCTGCCGCCGACTCGGGGACCTCACTCTCACCTCGGGTGTATCTTCGGGAAGGGTTCGGTTCCTTCCCCGCGTTGGTGGGGCCTCCCGCGTCGTGGTGACATGCCGCGGCCTGCAATCTTCCCTCTATGTCGCTTTCGGCTACGTCGTCCGATACGGGTCGGTACCGTTCTACTCGGCGGAGGGGTCGACTGGTCCTTCCGCCGGCATCCTACGCCGGTACGATGGGGTCATGGGGAGCCGTCCCCGGTCGCCGCACTCAGCGGAGGTAGTCGGGGGAGGCCGACGTCGGTCCTCCATATTACCCCTGGTGTCCTGGCCGTGTTCGGCGCGCGAGGAGTTCGACGGCCCTATTTCCCCATGTATCTTGCGCGTCGTTCTGTTGCCGGTCGGGTGTTGTTCCCCGCGGCGTCCGTCTTGTTGGGGTCTCGCCATCCCCTTGCGTCGCGAATGCCCTATAGTGAGGGCGTCGGTCTAATTCCGGCCGGCAGATGGAGTCGCAGGGGGTGCCTGCGGACCGCGTGTACCAGTCGGCTGGTACACTCTGTACCTTCGATCCGCAGCGCAGTCTGGGCGTCCCTTGCGCTTCTTACACGACGCGCGCGCCTGCACGTCATGCACGTGCATTGTCTTCAGTGTAATTTCGCACTTTCCCAATTTTTCTTCCTTTTTAGGTTCGGGCGGTGGCGGTTTGTTTGAACCGCGACCCGCAGATATAAGCTGACCTCGGGGGTAACCTGGGGGTTTCGTTCTCCAGGCCCTTTGCACTTTTTGTAATCTCCCGTGATGATTACTTCTCCCGTATCGTGGGAGTTTGTCCCTTTCGTCTTGGGGTCTTCGTTACAGTAGAGATCCCCGAAGCGTATGCCGAGGCGTTCGTTCGTCGTTCGACATTAACCGCCCCCTCGCCCCAGAGATCGGCTGTGAGGGTGCTCGCCGTCGCCCACCACGCGCCCCTTGGAAGTGCGGTGGGGCCGTGCCAACGCGGGGTCATCCCTCCCCGGCGATCTGTTAAGCGCGATTTCGACGCAGCGGGAATGAGGGAAGGGTGCGTGCAATCGGGAAAGGCGATCAGGGACGGGTGAAGTCGTTCCCGCCACACT